GATAAAATTGGCATGGGGCTGAAACAGTGCCTGGAGGGTCCGCAGACACCAAGCCTAGAGACCTGCACTGCTCTGCAGGGCTCTTGCCTGTGCCTTGCTTGGGTGTACCCTCTTATCTCTGTGCTGACTACCCTCTCTCCTGAGCCTCTGTCATATTTTCTGCCGCCCCCGGTCATGTGAACACAGTTATGTACGTAAAGCCATGTATTAATACTGACCCTGTAACCTTAGCCTTCAGATTTGCCTCTGTCTCTGCGTTCTGAATAGTGATTACCACGCCATTCGCACTGCTCAGTTGCATTGCTTAGGAGCCATTATCTTTGAATCTTCCTTTTCCTTGGCCAGTAATGTAATGCGAATTTTTTCTGAAATCAGTGAAGTAATACTCCAACCATTAGCACTAACTTCTGTCTTCCATTTTTAAATCTGGGCTGGCCTAACTCTCCCCTCTCTCCTACCACATTGCTTCCTTGTACTCCATGTTCCAGCAATACCTACATTTTTCTTTGGTAACTTGTGAAATGTTTCCTGTCTTTAGAAAGTGTGCTGCACTTTCTGCTTGGTGTTGTCTCTCATGTGTCTCTTTCTGACTTCTGCTGTGGTGTCACTTTTGTGATACCTCTCCCTTCCAAAGGTTAAATTAATAAGCATGTTCTTTGTGCTTGGAGAAGACTGTCACATGGTATTGAGATTCACACAGTTGGCTCCACCAGAGCATGCTTTGTGGCACAGTAGGAGTTCAGCTGAGGTCAAAGGTAGCCGAGTACAGCTTTTGCTGCCCGGCTGTTTCAGATGTCTGCTTTGGTGGATTATTACATGTGTTTGATGTAGTTTTGTTTGCTTTATTTTGCCACCTTGTAGTTTTACATACTGTAGCATTTTTTAATCATAGTATTTGGTATACTACAATGTATAGCATTTTTGTATACACTTACTTATGTACATTTTTTTTAAGTAAATTATACTTACTTTTTTTTTTTTTACAGCAACCTTGGCACCACTGCCCCAAATATATTTGTGATTGGATGTCATTTGGGCTCAATTTTTGTTCTCAAATAATAATTTTAACACCCTCCCCCACCACACACATCCCCGGCACTGTATCCCAGCATATGCTAGATGGGTTTGCAGAGGCTCGCCCCCAAGTTGTGGGCAGACACCTCTAGGCTTACATCTTTGGTCAGTTGCCAGCTCCTCCCTTCTGAGGTCTATAGTATATGCTGGCGTATTAAAGCTTTGAGAAGTTCTTAAATAAAGAAATCCTTTTAACTTCGATTATCTAGGAACTTCTTAGTGTATTTGTCCAGATGCTTTATAATTTTTTTTGAATTGTAATTTACGTGTGATAAATGCCCAAATTTTAAATGTTCAGTTCTGTGAGTCTTGATAATTATGTATTCACATATAATTACTTCTCAAAATAAAATAGGAAAAAATGTTATTGTCCCAGGAGGGCATTTGTGCCCTTGACCAGGCATTTCTGTGTTCTTCCCCTTTCCTGAGACCGTCGTTTTGACTTCTGTTACTAGATTAGTTTCCCTAGTTGTTGGAAGTCGTAAGTGGAATCGGTATATATTTTGTGTGTCTTTTGTCCAACATAATATTACTGAGATTCATCCATGTTGTGGGAGTGTATAAGTAGCTCACACATTTTTGAGCAGTAATTCCATTGTATGAATTTACCACTGTTTTATTTTTTCAGTTTTCTTGATACTAGGGCTGTTTTCCAGTTTGGGGCTGTTATGAATATGTCTACTATGAACATTCTTGTACAAGTCTCTTTTTGTGAACAGAAGTTTTTACTTTTATTTTATTTTGAATGTATATCTAGGAGTGGAATTGTGATGTAGGGTAGCTGTTTAACTTTTTAGGAGCTTGCCAGTTTTCCAAAGGCATTGCACCATTTTATACTCACATCAGCAGTGCTTTTGCTCTGCTCTTCCCTTTGAAGCAGGGGATCCTTCCTTGGGCCCTGGGTGTGGGAGGCTTTCCTGCATCTCCTCTACTGGTTGAAGGCTTTTGCTTCATACAAGGTAGCACTTAAAACGGAGGAGCTCTCTCCCATCTCTTGTTCCATGCCATTATTTTTCAAGAAAACTCATTTGAGGTCTTTGGGAAAGAAGTGAGTGAGTGCAGATTCCTCTTTTGCCTCGGTCTTCCTGGGATTCTTTACTGCCATTCTAGCTGACACTCATCTGTCATCTCTACTTTTATTTTTAATATTCAGCAGATTGACTATGGTATGTTTCCTTCGCATCTGTGGTTTGATATCTGCTATCATTTCTGAAACATTCTTGGCCATTATCTCTTAGGTTTTTTCTGCCCATTCTCTCTTTCATCTCCTTCTGAGTCTCCGATTAAACTCCACTTAAGGGAGGCCCAGATGACATTTGGTCTTGGATGTTCTAGGATTTTTCCATACTTTTTTTTTCTTTGTGTTTCAATCTGGGCACTTTAATTTGGCCTGTCTACAGGTTTACTGCTCACTTCTGTCTGTTACTAAATCCATCTAAAGAAATCTTTAATTTCTGATACTGTATTTTTCATTTTTAGCATTTGTCTGTGATCTTTTTTTATAACTTCACTGTGTATGATGACATTCTCTGTTTCCTTATTCTTGTTGTCTATTTCTTCCATCAGTTTTCACCATAATTATTTTAAAGTCTATGTCTGATAATCCAAAGTCTGGGCCCTCCCTGATCTGATTATATTAATACTTCCATCTTTTGACTATGGTTTGCTGCTCTCCCTGTCTTGTGATTTTTGATTCAGTGCTGAATATTTGTGTAAAACCAGTGTAGACTGAAGAATATGTTAATTTACTTTCCCCAAATGGCCCATCATTACTGTGGGGCTAAGTCAGTAAGACGTGTGTGTAGTTGTGCAAGTTCTGGGCTTATTTGCAACTTTAGTTTGATTAGTTCAGGTATTTTGAGAGTAGAATTAAAGCTTTACCTTCTGCACGATTGGCTGTCTTAGTGTAATTTCAGTTGTCTCCTTATGCTTTATATCTGAGTCCTCAGCTTTCTGAATGGTGGGTGATTTCTCTGCTTAAAGCCCAGCTCTTGGGTCCTTGGTCATTCTGGAGTTCTTTTTGCTCCCCAGTCCTGCCCTAGGCTGTTGTGCCTAGTGGGGTATCTCTCTGCTAGTAATACCTTCCAGTGTTCCCTCTCGGCAGTCCTTTCCTACCCCAGGCTTGGTGGTACAGTTTCGAGAGTGGGTAGAAGTTTTTGTCTCAGCTCTAGCTCTCCCGTCCCACCTCATTCCTTGGTAGCTGCATGTCTGGAGCCTCCTGAATTGATTTCTCTCACTTCTCCTGTCCATTTCCTCTCCCCTCACCTCCCCCCAACCCCCTCAAAGACAGGTCTGTTGCATTTGAGGAAGACCTTAAGCTTCGTAGGGTATCTCGCAGCTTTCCAGCCTTGTCCTCCAGCTTTTGGCATTTTTGCCCAACGCTTGGTGGAGACCTGAGGGACTGAGTGGTTGAGTGGGGCATGTTTGTTCCATGGAATCCTTGGAATTCTGATGTATCTTGTCAGCCTACCCGTTGCTGTTAAAATGTATTGAAATCTAGGCAGATTTCTCCTTACCCTCATCTGTGGTAGGATTATTCCTTCTTAGCCACTCCACCAGGAAAGAGACCATCTGTGGGCCCCTCTTCTATCAAGACTCAACACTTTCTGGAAATTAGTTCCACTGAGGTTACTTTGCATCTTTAACTTTGTGATGGGTTCAGAAAAAACATAATTTATTAGCTAATCTGACTTGTTTTGATTGCTAGAGAGTCTGCTGTGGCTTTCTACATGCTGATTAGAAGTGGATCTCCTTCGTGGAGTACTTTTGATATACAGTCTGGCAAATACCTGATAAAATTTGTTATCTCACTTCACTCTAGTTGGTTTTCTACAGTGTTTCGCGGAGCTAGGTTTCTAAATCTTTTCCGTTCTTCTGAAATCTGAACTCTCCACTTCCATCCTCAAGTGGTAAATGATCTTGTCTCTTACTTCGAGATTAAAGCCATTGACGTTAAGTTTTAATTGAGGGGCTTGTGAAGAGTGTGGGTAAAATTTATGGTAGAGGCTTAGAAAACGAGGCAAATGAAAAACTGGCATAATTAACTCTGGGGAAAAGAAAGAGTTGTACAAAAAAGGGAAACATTGTTATATAGTAGTTTACTACTAACATCATCAGGTACAAAACTACAGTTGGGAGATAATTATTTTTAAGGTTGGAGGAAAGCAAAAAAATAAATCCTCATTTTCCATAGAAAAATTGATATCTAAACTGGGTATTTTCAAAGGCTACCATTACTGAGGTATAAACAGCAAGAATGAAAGTTGAAAGATAGTAAAGAATTGTATCACGATGTGAGAAGAGGAGCTATGTTTGACTTTGTTCACTATGCATATTATTACTTAGATAAAAATGAAAATATATTTTTTAAAAGAGCCTTAATTAAAAATCTTCTCAGGGGGTGGTAAAATGAACCAAATCTTTTCTTCACAGACTCTCTTTACCTTTAGTTTTTTATTCTTATGCCTTTTCCTTTGTTATAACTTTAGATTTTACTTTATGATACTTAGTTATGAAAGTTTAAAACTTTGGAGAAATTGGGCTGGTAAATTTTTTAAAATATTTTTTTTCAGTTTTGAGAACAGATTGAAATTCTAAAAAAAATGAGGAAAACTTTCTATTGGTGAAAATATTTTCTTGATTTCATTAAAAATTAAAAATAAAGTAGTATGGGTGATGATTAACTTGTCCAGTGTTGATAAGAGATTTTACTTGCAAAATTATTATATTTGCCCACTATAGAGCACTGTCTTGTTTTTAGAATGATTTGTTTCCACAGTTCATTTCAATTAGTAAAGACATTTTCATGGGTGAAAAAGATAACTTCTATAAGTCTGTTGTGAAAGTAGTAATTTGAACTTCTGTTTCATTTTGTAATTTGATTTTGACACTGTATTGAAATTACTGTTGATTGTAAAGTTAGTCTCTAAATTACCCTTTCCATATCTTTTCTAGGTTAGATTAAAGAGGATATTTTCTTAGTGTGGATCACTGCCTTTGGTAAGAACATGTCGTCCATCTTGCCATTCACTCCACCAGTTGTGAAGAGACTGCTGGGCTGGAAGAAGTCAGCCGGTGGATCTGGAGGAGCAGGTGGAGGAGAGCAGAATGGACAGGAAGAGAAGTGGTGTGAGAAAGCAGTTAAAAGTTTGGTGAAGAAGCTAAAGAAAACAGGACGATTAGATGAGCTAGAGAAAGCCATCACCACTCAAAATTGTAATACTAAATGTGTTACCATACCAAGGTAAGTGTTGTTAGAGCAGAAGTTTGATGGCCATGCTGTTGAAAATTGCTTAAAGGAATCTGAAGGAAAGTTACTGAAATTTTGTTACTTTTCAAGTCACCTGTCAACCGTGATTATTAAAATATGACAGCTGTTTTTAACCTGTCATATTAATTTGTTTGACTCATTAAGACTTACTTATTTTGCAAATCATTTTCTTGAACAGCGAGAAAGTTTAATCAAGCAAAGTAAAACACTTAGGTTGTATTAAGTTTTATCTTCACTGTCTTCATTTACCTTCATTGCCCAAAGACTTCATGGTATGTTATCCTAATCTCTCTGATAGAATGACATTTGAATAAAGATTCCAAGATGTTTCTATCCCTAGTGCAGTAGGGGCTGGCAGTTTTCTCCCCCCTTGGTCAAAACTTCAGTCAGTAAGGAGTTAACAGAAGCTGCTAACATTGCGATGAATTTTATATAGTTTTGTTTGAGTTTCAGCATTACTTCTAAGAAAACAGTATGTTAGGCAGCTTGCGAGGTGTCACAGGTAGTTAGAACCTCTCTTGAAGACCTACCTCTTGTATTAGAAAGACCTGTTACTTAAGAGGTTGAAGTTTTATTAGTATAAATTTAATCATTTATAGATCATTACCAATATCAGAGATACTATTTTTTAAAAAAAAGTGGCTAGTGGTTTTTAAGTGTTTTAATGTGCACAGCTATTTGTTACATTACAGGGTTTTGGGCAGTGACAATTTATAGCATTTCCGAAAACGATTATTTGCAGTGTCGTAGAAATAGGCAAGCATATGGCATATGAAACCATTCTACTTGACATGTTCCTAATGAGTTTTGGGAAATACACTCTGGGTGCTTGTTGATAATAGATCCCAGTAACGCCAGCCTGTCTGCTTGCAAATCCTGACACTAAAATGTGTCCTGCCTTGTTTGGTAGATTAATTATCCATTTCTCTTACCTTACTTGTTTTCATGTAATTTTTAAGTGAGTCACTTTTCTTAGTTTATTCTTTCGTTTAGAAATGCTTATGAGTGCTTACTGTATGCAAGAGACTGGTTTTAGGTACATGGGATACAGTAGGAACAAAACCCAAAGTTCCTACCCTCCTGAAGGATAGATGTACATAGGAAACAAGTGGACAAATTAATATAATTTGAAATGGTAATGAGTACAAAGAAAACAATGACTGAAAAAAAGCTGCTTCAGTTGGATTGTGACACTTAAGCTGAGCCTTCAGAAGTAGCAGCTAGCTGAGGGCAGTCTGCTAAGCAGAGGGAGGAGTGAGTGTAAAGATGCTGAGGTGGGCCTGGAGGATGTATTGTATTGCAGTAGAGGTGAAGTGATACAGAATGAGAACAAGGCTTGGAAGGAATCAGGTCATATAGGGCATCATAGGGCACTGTGGGAGTTTGAATTTTAGTCTGAATATAATAGAAGGCAAATAAAGTGGAAATATGGTTTTTAAGTGGATTTTTTAAGTTTAAAACCATTTTTAAAGGATTTTTTTTACATTTTTATTTTACAAAGATTATTCTGGCTGCTGGATACAAGTGGTTGGGGCAGGGAAGAGAGAAAGTGTGTGTGTGTGTGCGGGCGCGCGTGTGCGTGTGCACTCATGTTTGCAGTAGACTGGTATAGTGGTCTGGAAGCAAGGAAATCAAGAGGCTATTAAAGTAATACAAAACAGCGATGCCAGAGGCTGGGCTGGGGTGGCATGGTGCTAACACGTGAAGTGGACGGATTTGGATGGAAGTTGAACTTGACAGGACTTGCTAATGAATTGGCTAAGCGTAAGTCAAGCTGTATTTGTTGATTTGTCATTGTATAACTTCTGGTATTTCAGTTCAGTAAACATTTATTAAGTGCCCACTCCATGTGTGATGACTGGAGTTAAAGTATAGTCTTTGCTCTTGAGTTGCTTACTCTCTAGTAAGGGAGATAAACTTTAACAAATAAGGAAGATCATTTCGTAATGTGCAGTAAGTGTTCTGAAAGATGTATGCTCAGGGAGCTGTGTCCAGAGGAGGGGAGCCTTGCCTACTCTGCAGCTTGTGGAAAGTTCTCCTCCTGGATAGAGACTGGTTGAATCTTGATGGATGTAAAGGAGGAATTTAGTCAGGAGAAGCGCGATTCATCCAGATGGCACTGTGTGTTGAGAGCACGGTGGGAGGAGAGGATTGGTGAAGGGTGTCCTGGGAGGGCAAAGTGGGAGAGGAGAGACATGGCAGGTGTGAAAGGCTGTGTGTGTGAAGGTTATGCCATTTTTACTCATAAAAATAACTGCAAAAATTAAAAATAATGTATCAAAAACTAGAATTATAAAACCAAAATCACAAAATCATGACGAGGTAAGGTTTATTGCAGGAATGCAAGTGTGATTCCACTACAGGAGTTAATGTGAGAACTTGTGTATTTAAGAACACTGATCATCTTGATGGATCTAGAAAGGGCTTTCTATAAAATTCAGTGTTTATTCATGTTAACAAATTAGAAATAGGAGTCTTCTTAACTTGATAAAGCATACTTTTAAAAATGTTAACACTTAATATGAAACTTAAGAAATACACCAAATTATTAATAGTGGTTATTGGTAGATTATCTGAAAAAAGAAATCTCTTGTAATTTTTTCCTAATACTTATATATAAAAATCTGTGTTACTGTTATAGTCAGCACAATTATATGCTTAAATAGGACTTTTGGGCAATACTTAGACTATTCTTGTCTACCTTTTTTTACCCTTTAAGTCAATTTTTCAGTTAATGGGCAATTATATTTTTATTTTTATTTTCTTAACATTCTAATACATGTATTTATATCTGTTTTTTTTAAAAAAGTATGTTCCTTAACAACATAAAGTAGTATGTGTACATGATTCTAAATCCAAACACAGATTATACAGTGGAAAACTGTCTGCCTCCTACACCTGTTGTCACCCTTCTCACCCAGGTGTGTTTCTAGTGTCTTGTATGTTTCCAGGAGAATGTGTTTCTTTTTAATGCTGTCACTGACGTTTGGATTTTGTTTTCCATCTTCTAAATTTTTAAACATCAGAGTAATTGATGCAAACTTTTTTTTCGTATTTCAGTTTATTAGGTAGAATTGTTACAGTTTGACTGCACATATTACAATATATTGCATGTAAATATATATACACATAATTGACTTAAACCTTATGCAGATTGTCAACTTTTGTTTTTAATGTCATATTCCTACTCTTTTACTTCTCTGGATAATCCAGGAAGAATTACAGAAAAGTCTTTGAAAATCCAAACAGTGGTAGCCTTCAATTCAGTCTTGCTTTACATCTTATCTGGTATTTAGGCTAAAAGGACTGGATCCCACGTGTCTCGTACACTGTTTTTTATATTCTTTTTGTTTTTCTTGTTTCAGTTTGGATATTTTCTGTTGGCTTCACTTTGAGTTTACTGGTCCTGTTTTGTGCTGTGTCCAGTCTTCTGTTAAACACATCCCATAAGTTCTTAATTTCAAATATATTTTTCATTTTTAGTATATTTCTTTGGCGTTATAGATTCGTAATCGCTATTGAAATTCGTGTTTTTTCCTATTTTCCTGAATTCTTTAATATATTTATAATAGTTATTTTATGGTTCCTGTCATCTCTGATATCTGGATCATCTTTCAGTCCGCTTCTGTTATTGTCTGTTCGTTCTTTTATCATCACATTTTCCTGCCTCTTCATATGCGGTGCAGTTTTGATTGTATGTCATAGGTTGCATATAAGAGAATTATAGATGCTGCAAATGATACTATCCCCAAAGAGTAATTGGCCTTTCCTATGTCAGGTAGATAGAGAGGCTGATCACCTCAATCTTACCAGGGAATGACCTGGGTTGAGGCTTGGTGGCCATTTTAATTTGATTTAGTCTACCCCTGGCACATACCTTTTCTGCAAATAAGGCTCTCCTAGGATTTTGAAAGAAAGCCTGGCAGGTCTCTGTCCTTCAGACACTATGGGGGGGGGTTCACCTCTACCCTTCTTTCCATAGTTGGAGTCTGGCTGCTAAGCCCCCCGCTGCTTGCGCCTTCAAAATCAGGCAGACACCTTTGAGGGAGGAGACTCTTGGGACTGTCAAAGTTTTGACGGTTATTTTCTTCAGTGGAGTTTCTCTTCCCAGACCAAGCCTGATCCTCAGCCTGTGCCTAGAATCTGCAGATGACCCCAGAGAAGGAAATGACAGACGCCAGTCAGTTTACTAGAAATGTTCCCTCTTCTCACAGTTTTTGTTCGTTTAGATCTATTTACTTTGATGGTTCTCCATTGGCTTTGAACTGGGTTTTTTTTGTTGTTGCTGTTGCTGTTAATCTTTCCCCTGTAGTTGTTGCAACAGGGAACATTAGCCTACTGTGACCTGCTTATATTACCTGGAAGTAAAATTGTAACGGTAGTTAAAGTGGAACTCTTCTCACTTTATTCAGCGACCCTAAATCTGAGAACAATAGATTGCAAGTAACTGACACTTAGCCTTGTGGTGCGATACCATTCATGCAGGATTTGCAGAGAGGTTTCCCTGAGGTGACTATTGCTGCTGTTAACCCGTCACTCACCTCTGAGCCATATAAAGAAAATAGAAGAGTTCATCAGAGGGATCCCATGTGAGAGCTTTGGAGAGAGTACTGCATGCTGTGATATTTCCCCTTCCTTCATCCAGCCTGGGGGCTTCAGGGGGAGATTCTCCGTTGAACATGACGTTTGGGAGACAAATAGACTGGTACCTTGCTGTCACCTGAAAAAGACGAAAAAGTCAGAGAGCAGCTGGAGGTGCTCCTGTGTCAGTGGAATGAAGGAAGGGCTCTGTGGGAATGGCCTGCACATTCAGAGTTCAGTGCGTCAGTGATGCAGGAGTTTCCCATGGGCCAGGTGCACTTTCCTAAGGTAGCTGAAGTTGACTTGTCTTGAAAAGATCGACTTGGAGAGTCAAAGTGACCCATGCTGACCAGCTAGAGAAGTTTGCAACAGGAGCGAACTACAGGGAAGAG